GCTCCTCGGCAGGGGCCCGTCTACGCCTGCCGCGTGCGCCACAGCAGCCTGGGCACCCGCAGCCTCCTCATCCCATGGGGTAGGTGCCACCCATGGCGACAGGGCGCAGGGTGCAGGCAGATACCCCTGGCCCTGTGAGGGGCAGCTCCTGCCTGGTGCTGCCACACTAACATGGCCACCCTCTTCTCTCCCTGTCCCAGAAAACCACAGTGCAGCTCCAACCGTCGGCATCGCCATCACAGTGCTGCTCCTTGTGGCCACAGCCTTTGCTGGGGGCATTTGGTGGTGGAAGCACAGGTGAGGTCTCCCTCTCACTGTCTGCTCTCAGGTTTACAGGCAGCTGGGTCAGGCCTGGGGTTGCAGCAGCGGTAGCTCTGCAGGGATGAACTCCTCAGCCCCAAGCGCAGCTCACGGTGGTCCTCCATTGCAGGAAAGGTGACGAAGCCAGATGGGAGACCCGGGAATTCATCATTTGAGGCCTGGCTGCCCGCCCAGCAATGAGCTCACTCGCCACCAGCTCTTCCTGCTCATCTCATCTCATCTCATCTCATCTCATCTCATTTCATCTCATCTCATCTCATCTCCCATTCCTGACCCATCAGCACCAACAGGGGTTTGCTCTGGAAAACCACCGCATTAAACAGCTACAAACTTCCCCAGTTGCATGCAGCTCCTGTGGCGCTCACCCTCCTTCCTTCTCATGAGTTCCCCCCAGGAAACTTCCCCAGTGCACTGCAGAGACCCCACATTGCAACGAGGAAGAGCCTCCCTTTTCCTGGACACTGGCTGATCTCCCGTGGCATGTCAGGAGAAGCAGTTCCTCTGCCAACCTCTCCTACATCTCAGCATCTCTGTGGCCAGTGTCGGTCCCTGGCAGAAGGGCAGGACAACCTGGGGCCAGACCAGCATGGGGCCACTGCGTGGGATGGGGGGCAGAGCAGGTCACAAACCAGGGAGAGATGGAGGGATTTGAGCAGTTTACCTGGGGAGAGAAAGGGAAGGGAAGACCCAAGTGACATCTCCAATCCCCTGGTGCAGGGAGGCAAATCATGCAGGTGCAAAGCCATTCCGGCTCCAGTGCTGATTTCACCCTCTGTCTGGGATGGTTTTTGGTCGGGATCTCCTTCACTCTTGACTCTTGCTCCCATGCTTGACTCGTGCCCCTGCAAAAGCTGGAGGGATGGGGGACAGTAACCCTCCCAATATGCCTGACAGACATGAAAGAGCCACACTGAGGCTCTGGGGGACTTTGTCTTTGAGCAACATGATCCCAAGAAGGGTGCTGTGGTGGGTTGAACTTGGCTGGCTGCCAGGTACTCATCAAGCCACTCTATCACTCCTTCTCCTCAACTGGATAAGGGGGAGAAAACACTTCAAAAGGCTCATGGGTCAAGATAAGGACAAGGGAGATCACTTAGTAATTACCATCATGGGCAAAACACGCTCAGGTTGGGGAAGTTAATTTAATTTATTACCAATCAAAATAAGAACAAATCTAAAACAACATTGCCCTCCACCCCTCCCTTCTTCCTGGGCTCAGCTTCACTCCTGAGTTCTCCATCTCCTCCTCCCAAGCAGCACAGCAGGATGGGGAATGCCATCAGTTTATTATGCATTGTCTCTGTCACTCCTGCCTCTTCACCCTGCTTCAGCATGCATCCTTCCCACAGGGTGCAGTCCTTCAGGAAAGGGCTGCTCCAGCGTGGGTCCCCCACAGGGTCACAAGTCCTGCCAGAAGACCTGCTCCAGCATGGGCTCTCTATGGGGGTCACAGCCTCCTTCAGGTAGATCCATTGGCTCCAACATGTGGTCCTCCATGGGCTTCAGGTAGATATCTGCTCCACCATGGTCTTTCACCATAGGCTGCATGGGCACCATCTCTGCTCCAGTGCCTGGAGCATCTCCTCCTCCTTTGCTGATTTGGTGTCTCCATAGTTGTTTCTCTGACATATTCTCACGTCTCTCGCCCAGCTGCTGTTCCTCAGCAGTTTTTACACCTTCTTAAATACGTTATCAGGGAGGCACTACCAACACGGCTGATCAGCTCAGCCTTGGCCAGCAGCAAGTGTGTCTTGGAGCGGGCTGAAACTGGCTCTGTTGGACATGGGGGCAGCTTCTGGCATCTTTTCACAGAATCCACCCCTACAGGCCTCCTGCTACCAAAACCTTGTCACGTAAACCCTGCCAGGGGTCTACAGAGTAAACCCCTGGGGGTTACCGTGGGAGAAAGCGAAGGCCACCACAGGCTGGGCTCAGCCTACATCTCTTCGGGTGTCAGGGTGCTGCTGCAGCCAGGAGGGATGACCCCTTGCAGCCTGGGGAGATGACTTCACACCCACCCAAATTCCCCTTGCACTCGCAGCCACCGGCCAGAGCACCCCAGCCTAGACCTCTGCTAGCCATACCACCTCCCACTGGGGAACACACCAAGCCAAGCCCTCCCCAAAACCTCAGCACCAGCCTCATTGGCTACCGGGGCCGCGCCATGACACTAGCATCCCCAGAGCTGCCCAAGCAGGGCAGCCCTGGGGAGAAGTGTTCTGTCACGGCTCCCCTGGCCCTTCCTCTTCCTGCTACACTTGCTCCTCCACACTTGCCGCTGGCACCATGCAGACTCTTCACCTCCTCCTCCCTCTCTTCCTTCTCGTCCTCCTCCCTGGGACGTGGACAGATCCACAGGGTAAGTGGGAGCCTTGGCTCACCCCCACCTGCTCCCATGCCTGCACTGCGGGACCCCACAGAGGTGGCCAGGGGGGTGGGCACAGACAGGCCATTGTCCCCACTACCAAGGGGCCACCCCCCCACACCCCACACCTCTCAAAGGTGCTCCAGCCCTGCCCACCTGCTCAGGGTTCCCTGCCCCACATCATCCTGCCCAGCCCAGCACCACTGGTGCTGGGGTTCAGGCACCTGAGCAGCCAAGGGGCAAAGGGTCCCTCAGCCAAGCCTGGGGTGTTAGGGTGCCCCCAAAGACACCTTCTTCCTGCAGGGAGCCTGTGGGCAGCAGGGGTTCTCAGCCCCTCATGGCACAACAACCCTGCACTGAGCTCCAACCCCTCAAGCAGATCCTGGGTGCCACCCTCAGCATGCAGAATAATTTTTCTTGAAACCGAAGGGTCCCTGGATCCTCTGCACTCTCCCCCTGTGAAACAATACTTGAAGGCTCCTCCTGCAGCTAAAATGAGCCTTAATCTGCATCCTCAGCCTTTGTTTCCCATTCCGGGGGTAGACACTCACTGCTCCCTGGCCAAGGGGCACCCACTGCCCCAAAACAGGCTTCACTCTGCCGTGCTTACTACCAGACCCTCATTTAGCACTGTAGCACTGAACTCAGTCTCCTGCCTCCTGTTAGGGTTTGGTCACAAGCACTACCTGGAAGCCCCTAAACAGCGGTGAAACGCTCCTCCCTCCCAGCCTCCCCAGCCCTTACACTGTGTGCAGGTCTCCAGTGGATCCACGTCTGGCATGGGCTCTTCTTCCCCTCCCTCTGCCCATCTGCCCCATCTTGCCCTGCCTGTCCCCAGGGACACTGCAAGCCATCCTTCCTCCTGGGGCCGCCCATGAGCAGTGGAGCTGGCAGTCCCCTGACCCCCTCCTTCATCTTCATGCACCCAATGCTGCTTCCTCTCCCCCTTTGCCCACAGGCTCTTGTAAACTCCACCTTTTCTTCACCTTTGTGTTCCACAACACCAACAATGTGGACATTTTGTCCTGGGCCACCCTGGAGGACATCATCTTTGCTACTCTGCAGAATGACACCTGGAACATCCTCTACCTCCAGCCATGGGTCTACCCAGCCCTGCCTGCAGCAGAGTGGGTCAACTTGCACAACCTGTTCAGGATCTACCTGCACAACTTCATCCTGACCCTGTCCAGTGATGTCAGGCTGTACCACACACCCTGTAAGTATCAGGTGCTCAGCATCCCCTCACTCAAGGCAGGGATCTGTGAGAAGGAGATTGGAGCCACCACCACCAGCTTTCCCAAAGAGGCTGGCAGGAAGGCCAAGACCCCAGATCCCACCAGAAAAATCATCTGAGCAAGTGGAGGTCAAAGAGGCTTCTCCACTAATGTCTGTGGGATGGGACACACAGAGCAAGCACCTGGCCCCACACACTGGTGCAGTGCTGGTTAACCAAGGGCAGGGCACTGGGCAGAGCACCACTGCCTTCCTGCTTGCCCACACCCCATGTCCCTTCACTCCACCAAAGCAGTGCTTCCCACTTTGCCACGGGTTCTGACCCTGCTGCGAGCAGGGGCAGCTCGAGGACGACGAACTACAGGACTCAGGACAGATTTCTCACTGGCAGTGTTTCCACCTGGTGTAAAGCAGAGCAGTAGCATGGGACAATAGAATAGAATGTAGAGAATAGAATAGAATAGAATAGAATAGAATAGAATAGAATAGAATAGAATAGTTCAGTTGGAAGGGACCTACAGTGAACATCTACTCCAACTGCCTGACCACTTCAGGCACTTGACAAAAAGTTAAAGCAAATTATTAAAGCAAATGCCTCTTAAACACTGATAGGGCTGGGGCATCCACCACCTCTGTGAAAAAAAGTTTCCTAATGTCAAGTCTGAACCTGCCCTGAGGCAGCTTTGAACCATTCCCGTGTGTCCTATCACTGGATCCCAAGGAGAAGAGTTCGGCACCTCCCTCTCCATGTCCCCTCCTCAGCGAGCTGCAGAGAGCAATGAGGTCACCCCTCAGCCTCCTTTTCTCCAATCTAGACAAGCCCAGAGTCCTCAACCACTCCTTGTAGCGTATGCCTTCCAGCCCCTTCACCAGCTTTGTTGCCCTCCTCTGGACACATTCTAGTACCTTCACATCCTTCTTAAATGGTGGGGGCCAGAACTCCGCACATACTCAAGGTGAGGGTGCACCAACGCTGAACACAGTGGGATAATCTCCTCTCTTGACCAGCTGGTTTTGCTGTGTTTGATGCACCCCAGGGTGGGGTTTGCCCTCTTGGCTGCCAGGGCATGCTGCTGACTCCAACTGAGCCTGCTGCCAACCAGCATGCCCAGATCCCTTTCTGCAGAGCTGCTCTCCGGCCACTCCTCTCTCAATTTATATTTGTGCTTGGTGTTACTCTGTCCTAGGTGCAGAACCCAGCATTTAGACTGGTTAAATTTCATCCCATTAATCAGTAATTCCATTCTGTTCCACATCTGGGGAATAAACATCCATCCCAGACTCCAGACCCTCTATTTCTGTTCTTTGCATCTGTTCCAGTCTCTACAGAAAGGTCTCTGGGGATGAGACACTTCTCCAGAACATGGTTATTGGAAAACAAGGGGGACAGCTTGTCCAGAAGGATGCTGTGAGGGACAATATCAAAAGCCTTACTAAAAATCCAGAAGAACTACATCCACTGCCTTCCCTTTCACCCACTAGGTGGGTCACCTTATTGTAGAAGGGTATCAAATTAGTTACAGGACTTTCCTTTTGTTGACTGTGCCTGATGATTTCATTGTCCTTTAAATGCCTTTCTATAGCACCCCGTATGATCTTCTCCATAATATTTCCAGGTACTGAGGTTAGACCCACAGGTCTGTCATTTGCTGGGTCTTCCCTCACGCCCCTCTTGTAAATGGGAATAACGTTGGCTCCCATCTTCGGCCGATGATCAGAAGGTGTCCTGCCATAACATCCACTAGCTCCTTCAGTACTCTGGAATGAATCCCATCAAGCCCCATGGACTTAGGAACTTTCAGCTGATACAGCTGGTCCCTTGCGATTTCAGTGTCCACAAATGGAATGTCAGTGTTCCCACAGTGGTGCTCCTCTGACTCAGAGGACTGGGCAGCCCCAGGTCCATCAGTATTATTAAAGACTGAGGCAAAAAAAGCATTGAATGCCTCTGCTTTTTCTTCATCCCTATTAGTCAGGTGACCATCTTCAACAAGTATCAGTCCAATGTTTTCTTTAGACCTCTTCTTGCTATTAATGTACTTTAAAAAGCCTTTCTTGTTGTCTGACATAACACTAGCCAGTTTCAACGCTAACTGAGCTTTGGCCTTTCGTGTTTTCTCCCTGGAGAGAATGACTTGGGGTGCAGAGGAAACGGGTAAAAGTGCTGTGCCCGAAAAAGCGGGTGTCAGGCTGCAACTTCAGCTCAATCTGCACTCATGATGTCCATCATCCCCCCCAGACCCTTTTGTGTTCCAGTGCATGACTGGCTGTGACTTGTATCTCAATGGCTCCTATACCAAATTCTTCCATCTTGCCTACAACGCCGACGACTTCCTCAGCTTCGACGTGGACAACAGGCTCTGGAAGAGGTGGCAGGAGAGTGAGCTGGCGAAACAAGTTGAGATGCAGTTCAACACCTTCACTGGCTTCTCTGCGACCCTGCAGCACCTTCTAAATGTCACCTGTGTTGAACACATGAAGAAATTCATCAAGTACGGGAGGGCAGCTCTGGAGAGACAAGGTGAGACCACCCTGACCCTGGCACAGCCACCCCAAGGCCCCCCACAAACTGGGGCCACGTGATGCCTCACCAGGGCTCCCCTCACACCTTTGTTCTCACCCCCCAGAGCCACCTGTGGCCACGGTCTTTGCCCGCACGCCCAGACCAGACCAGCTCCTGCTGGTTTGCCGTGTCACCGGCTTCTACCCACGGCCCATCAGTGTGGCCTGGCTGCGGGATGGCCAGGAGGTGCCGCCGGGCCCGGCGCTCAACACCAGCACCATCCTGCCCCACGCCGCCCTCACCAACTCCGCAGCGTCCTGGCCGTGGCTCCCCGTGATGGGCACAGCTACGTCTGCCGCGTGCGCCACAGCAGCTTGGGCACCCACAGCCTCCTCATCCCATGGGGTAGGTGCCACCCATGGGGATGGGGTGCAGGGTGCAGGCAGAGGATGCAGGTGCCTGGAGGATGGTGGGCCAGGCTCTGGTGTGCCTCCTGTGCACCCACAACCCCTCTCTCTCCTCTCTCCTCCAGACAGCTCCAAGGTAGCTCTCAGTGTCAGCATCACCATCGCAGTGCTGCTGGCCGTGGCTGCAGCCCTTGCTGGGGCCATCTGGCACTACAAGCGCAGGTGAGATCTCCTTCTCACCCAGCTGCACAAGCCCCATTGGCTCCAGGCCGTGGTGGGTGGAGGTACCTGGCCAGGGCTGCCTGCCCTTGTCCAGCCTCACTCATCTCTTCCTCTCCTGCAGGAGCTGAGACCATGGGACACAGCACAGCAGGGGTGCCCCAGGGTCACACCAGCCCCCCACATCTCCCTGATAATAAACTGCTAATTAACATCCCATGCATGTGGGAACTCCTGGTGTGCCATGCCTAGTACCCACAAGCCTATGGCATCACGCGGCTCCTGGCCACCCCAGGACAGATGGGACGAGTCCCAGTGCAGTGCAGGGGCATGCCCACACTCCTCATCCCAGGGTAAAACACTGGGACAGCCCCTCAACATCAACAGCATGTCCCTGGCCCCAGCCTCTAGTCCTGGGGGGCACCAGGCTCCCCATGTAACAGCAGGACTCAGCCAGTGCCAATGCAGGCTGCAGCAGTAAAAGACGCAGCCCCTCCCCCCCCCCCCCCCCCCGCTTCTGGGGGCACACCAGCACCTCTGCACTAGATCCCAGTTCCTGGGACCAGGGGACGGTGACGAACAGGCACGGGGCCAGCGCAGAGCTTGGGGGCATGGGGAGCCTAAGGCACATGATGGGCTGTGGGAATGGGGTTCACCTCCCCCACGGGAAATACTGGGGCTCGCAGCTCAGCGCTGGGGGCAGCAGCACAGAGGGGACAGATGTCTGTGCCCTGCAGGGCCAGGCTCTCTGGGCACAAGTGGCAGCACATTTCCGTCAGGGACACTGGCTGCAGCCATGGCCAGATGGCACCCCCACCCACCCCAGGGGCAGAACAGAGGGCTTGGGTCACCTGCACCACCCCAGGTGTCAGGGTGCCGCTGTGGCTGTGCGAGACCCCACCTGCAGCCAAGGGGGCGGACTTGCTCCCACGCAAATTCCCCCAGCACTTGTGGCCACAGGCTGGGGCACCCCTGCCCCGCCTTCCCGTCCTCCTGTGTGACCCCGTGGGGAAGGGGCTCCCCCTTACCTGCCTACCCAGGCGCTCGCCCTTGTGCCCCTACTTATCCCTCTTCCCACTGTGTCCCTACCCCATCCCTGTCCCCTTCCCCCACCCCCAACACCCCTCCCTCTCCCCACACATGCCCAGCCCTGGGCACCAGCCCCCTTCCCCTTCCCAAACTGCCCATTCCCTGTTCCCTCTCCACAGCCCCACCTGTCCCTCTGTCCCCATGGGTCCCTTCCTCCTCCTCGCACGTCCCCGTGCCCCGCCCCTATGGCGCAAGTACGAGATGGGGTCCCGGGGACCCCTCAGCCCTCGACGCCCGGCCCAGGACCCCCAGCAGCTGCCCAAGGCCCGCCCCAACCTCACCGTGCCTGAGCACCCTGCCAATGGCAACCCGTACTGCACCTGACG